CCAAACTCATTTCGAATGTTCGTTGGCTTATTTTGCCGTGTTTATGATATTTCTATAAAAATTTAAGCCTAAGTGCTTTCGAATAAAGGAAAAGCTTACAAAATGAAGATGAGTTATTACAAATTTTCCCTACTTATCGGTTGCTTTCTAACCCCGTTAAACATTGATGCCACATAAAAAGCAGAAAAGCCAGAAATATACCAAAAAATGCCAAAGTTTTCACTTCCTTACTATTTCCTTATCATCTTTAAGATTAATGCCTCTGATTTATACTGAAAAGAACTTGCATGTATGAAGTAATATCTTGCTCTTCGGTTTATGCTCTACCTTGATCTCACATTCTCAATATTGTCTCACGTTCTGTTTGATGAAAATTGTCGAACACAAGTGGAAATACCTTTTCGACTTGAAACTGCCACCACTGAGTCGCCAATTGCCTTGTACTTTGTACTATGATGATACATCCTCAGTATTGCATGATTTATACATTTTTTATATTCTGCTGTGGTCACATGCTTTCAGTTTGTGACATTTTCTAATAATCTTAAAATAAAGAAGCATTAATGTCATTTAACGTTCATTTAAGATATTTTGTTATAAACGCTAACCGAAACCTTACCGTTTGCGTTAAATATTATCACTTTTTTGTCATGTATTTCTATCACTGTTTTGTTTATTTGTTAGATGACATGAAGGTATATTTATTTATTTATTAAAGGATCTGCTTTTTAAAAACGGTGACGTCATAGTATTCGTTAAATATATATTTTTTTTCTTTATTTTTGTTAGCGATTTATTTATTCGTTCGTCGACGTAAAGATATATTTATTTATTTGTACATAAAAGTATCCACTTTTTAATGTAAACTCCGTTTTCGATAATCCTGTAGAACACCAGTGTTTTTTATACATATTTATATTCGTGCTGATTCTTATCCTAAATTCAAATTATGAAACATTTCATAACAGATAAATAAGTTGATTAATTTTCAGTATCGCTTTATTTTTGTTGAAGTTTATCTTTAGAGCCTAGATGAATCTTTAAAGCAGAATTAGAGTCCAATACATAAATTTCTTGAAAAATATTTATTCTGACGTGAAGGATTTCGTAATATAAGCCTCTAAAAATGTGATAGTATCTATAACGCGATGTACCCTAACATTTTTACATTATTTTGAAACTATGATGCATTGGTGTAAGAACGATTACATTGCACACAAACCATCGATTGTTACCAACATTTCTGATACAGGCGAATAACGACACAGAAACAAAACCAACAAACAACCTAAATAGACGATCGTCAACACTACGAGCAAATAATATTGATTACATTTTACCCATATTCAATAAATAAAAGATACAATATTCTTTCAATAGGTGTCTTCAAAGGACTTGAAAACTAGTCGAGTAAACAGTTTATTTTATTTTTAGTTTGACGATAAACAATGTTTTTATTAGTCCAAAACTTTAAGATATGGTTCAAGTTAGAAACCTTATTCCAACAGGAACATGTCAACCTGAATAAGCGTATAACCCACGAACACGTAAGCCAATACACTTCGCATTCAATGCGTCAATACCCGTCCAATTATTTCTGACTGTAGAGAATACGTGGAGAACATCTCAATAGTAATGATCAATAACTTGTAAATAACTTTTGTTAAAAGAGGCAAATTAATTCATCATCGCATTAATTAATTATTTATATCAGGTGTGTTTAAATAACAATTTTATGATAATTATGTTATGTATGTTTTTGATTAAGACTGCAAAAAAAAGGAAAGTATTAATGAACTCATTAAAACTGGAGCTCATTAATAAAATTATTAATTTATTAATAAAATAACAAAATGCAACATTATCTCGAGGAGGTAAATAAACGTAACAAGAATCAGGATAGAAATACTACTAAATCCTATCGCAAAAATCAGCAAAGACGTCCGCAAACAACCCACCAACTCTACGTTCAAACTTAGCACAAGTGAGAAAACCTACTGGGTTGCCAAGATCAATTCCTCTAAAGATGCCGCCTCGAGGAGATCTAAAGATGACATCGTAAACAGCTGCTGAAAACTCCTTCCATTTATTTTACAAAGTTACTAAAGTTATTGATGATTACAGCCTGAGTTGTGAGACATACAACAAATGGTGAGAGATGTTGAGTACTCTAAAGTTCTACAGTAATGTTTTATTCACAATGATTAGTCACGGTAAACATCTATGTATATGAAAACCACATTTTGAAACGAAAACAGCCTAAAACTTCTGATTGAAGAATAGATGCAATTTTCCAAAGGGACCAACTGTACGTAATCCTAATCAATGAGATTCGCCTACTGTTATCATTCTAACATCTGAACATTCAAAACTTAATAATATATCAGACAGATCGTCGGAAAGGTGTCGGCGATCGATATCAAAACTTGATTCAATCACAACTCGGACTGGATTTTTCATCCATAGCGAAATAGTTGTGTTGACCAGGGATCTAAACTACAACAATCTCTGCTAAATTAACCAACAAGATCTGCTTTCATAGAGTATTTTGCTTGTAGGATGAACCTCATTACATTTATCGACAGCATCAACCAATTTAACGATACAGTGCAAAAAATGCATTGGAATGTACGGAGATTGTACCCTTTCATTATCTGAGGAATCAAAGATTTGATACTTGGTTTTGATAGGTTTTTAGCAAAAACTGGATAACAAAAAGATGCCAGCTAACTCTTGATCTCATTCGCAAGTCCGAATTTAAGGTCGCCAAGCCCAGCAGTTTAAGGTTTCTATAGAAAAACTCAGAAATGCCAGTTGGAACGAAATCTTCAAACAGTTCATGAATCAGTCAAACCGATCTTATAATGCCTAACAAATATCAAAGTTCTAAGATAACTTTTATGAGAACAAACCTCGAAATGTATTTAAAATATTGCAATTATTTTCAGCACATTAGTTTCCAGACAGACTTCCTGCATTCAAACGTAACATGGCTCCGTTAAAGCCGCGCAACGTCCTTAATCACACCCTAGTATTTGATTGTATGAGAGAATTATAAAAAATTACCATCAATCATCACTTGATTATTACTATCAAACGCTCAAATTTGAAGTTACCAAATCGGGGAAAATCCAGAATGTAGTAATGGAGGAGTAATGATGAAGATAAGTGGGAAAATGGCCATGAAAAAACAAGGAAGTGCTGAAGCCATATCAACTTCTGAGCAGACACTGATTATTCCTAACATTTACAAGAAGTTATCTGCACCATAGCTGACCATTTTGTTTGTAGCACAAATATCTTGGCTGAGTCTCTTCATCAATCACACTTTTTTCTTAAATCACAGTGTCGTAGCCACATCATTTTCAAGATCCTTGTTGTTTCTACCATTTGAAGAATGTCGTCTGAAGCTAATGGCATCGTCATCGCTTGCCATTTCGTTTATGACTAAAATATTCTGCATTTTTCTGTCATTGATATTGATTCATTTTAAAGAATTAATCCTACTTTTATATATGAAGGGTATATATGATATATATATATCTTATATACCCTTTCTCTCCAATTATTTTACCAAGCAGATTTTTTGGTAAACTATTTTAATAATTTTACAGACTTAAAATATTGTTGTCATTGTTGTTTTCCTATATATGTATAGTACATATTAATAATTGGAATATCAAGAAAAAGTTTGATTCATATAAACGAGGTCCGAATAATCGATTTTCTATTGTAGTATAATTTAGAAAACTTTATGGAATTAATATAGTTGGATACGTCCGTAATATACCGCAATTGAAGAGTTTCCAAGACGTCATTAAATCGAACAGGTTTTTTACAAACCTTTTTCCATAGAAATGTAAAGTTATAATGTAAAGTTTGTAATGTAAAGTTTGTAATGTAATTTTCAGTGATTTAAGATCTGATTTTATGTAAACTCAAAAATGTTTTATGTAAAAATAAAGACTAGACTCAATTTATTTTTATTTAAGGATATAAACGTTGAGTAATTTTTTAACCCAAATTGGATTTAACGAGAATAATAGAAATTGCTGGAAGAAGAATAAAACGTGGTCCGATAAAATAGCTTTATCTGGAACTGAATTCTCGCCGGTTGAAAACGGTCGAAATTAGTAAAAATTTATCGCGTCTGTAAAAATAGTTTAAAAAGGAAGTGTAAGATTAATGGAACCGCGAAGGCATGCGACATAAAATTTATGCACCATTACCGCCGGATAAATCGCCGGTGGAGGTACGCTAAAACCGCGATTTTATTGTTAGTTTGTCTTCATAACGAGGGCAGATCGTGCATCAAGTCCCTTGCCGAACCTCCAATTTATGCTGGGACCTTTTTGGTTCACGCACACATATAGAATCGGACCGACATCAAATTTACCGTGAAATCTATGTGGATTAGTTACCTTTTTTTGTTAAATTTACGAGTATTTGAAATTTTTATTACCTGTACATTGAATATATTTTATCGTAATAAATTTTTTCAGTTCTGCGAACGATAATCTAATTAAGATCTGATCTTTAGGTAATTTTTTATGAAAATGAAATTACAAACTCTCCATTGTTTTCCGTCTAAGATTATCTTTCACTCCGTGGGGAACCAAAACCTTTGCTATTTACTAAATGGATACTCTTCCGTTCTATGGAAACTCTATGAATTTTTTAGGACTAGGCGAGGCTCTTCAACGTTCGTGCGACCCAGATACCAGTGAAAAATTATGTTAGCGCTGAAAGTTGTTTGTTTTCGTACACGGGTCGAAACGAAATTGCACTGGTTACAATTTAAAAATTTATAATCCTACCATCACATTACTTTTAACTTATCACCCATAACATACCTGTTGCTTTCCTAAGTTGTAATCAGTGAAAACTAAAGTTTTCATGGTATACTCAACAGAAATGGATTTGAATTACTTAAAACGTTTTCTTTATATGAATCTTTGAGTGCGAGTTTATAATGAGTTTTCGTTTATTTGATTTTCCAGGTTACAGATCGTCGGAGCAGACGACTTCAAACAGAACTAAGAGAAGCTACGAAACGAGACACAAACCGATGGAAGGGCAAACGAAGGTCACACAACAAAAGGAAACGGCAAAGGAAATTACTGGTGGTAGTGGGAAACCTGGAGTCTTTGCCACTGAAAATTGCACAGTGGTGGTGGCACAAATTGGTGGGACAGCAACTTTACCCTGCGTCGTGAGAAAATTTAACAATGGAGTCGTGAGTTTCTGTATTCTGTATCTTTTTGTTGAGAATAAGAAATATTTTATTCTTTTCGTAACGTTTTATGTTCTTTTCTCAGTTTTATAACGACATCTTGTTATCATCATTTAAAATAAATTTTTCTTTTTAAAATTATAACACAAAATCATAGTTTAATATAAACGTTTGTGGTTGTTAGTTTATTAACCACAATTTGATTTATGATTCCATTATATTACATAAAATACCGATTTGCTTTCGGGTGAACACAATAACACTAAAACCGCTTTAATATTTGATTTATAGAATTTAGGTTATTACATATTATAGTAATATAAAATTTTATTTAGGTATCTTGGATCAGAAAAAACGATTTGCACCTTCTCACAGTTGGTTTAACAACGTACAACGCTGACGATAGATTTATGGTTGAACATGTTCGTCATCTCCAAAATTGGGGATTACTTATTAAACATGTCCAACCATCAGATGCAGGTCTTTATGAGTGCCAAGTTTCCACACATCCTCCTACAAGCATTTTTTTGGAATTAAAAGTGACTGGTTAGTTCAACATTTTATTAATAAAATCTAAGTCGCTATTTAATACTATTTTTTTTTCTAATAATTTAGAAGCAATAGCTGAAATTCAAGGTGCTCCAGATCTTCATTTAAGAGCTGGTTCATTACTACGATTGGTCTGCACTTTGAAGCAATCAACCGAACCACCAGCTTATTACTTTTGGTATCACGAACAAAGAATGATCAACTACGATCCGGGAGTACAAGTTTTACCGGATACTTCTTCAAGCGTTCTTCTGATATCAGAAGCGGACAAAAGCCACAATGGAAATTATACTTGCAAACCTTCTAATACAGTACCAGCTTCAATCAATGTTCATGTGTTAAATGCAACAGTTGGTAAGTATCTTTTATATCTTATTGTAACTCATTTTTCTTCAAAATATGGATATCGTGATTGGGTTATAAAAGAAATATGTATAATAAGTAAAATGTATAACTACGAAGACTTTCACGGCCGGTGTTAATTAAACTAAAACTAAACTAACACTAGATCTAGAACTAGAAACTTTCGGGTTAAGCTGTGCGCCTTTTGAAAAAGTGTTTGATGTTTTGGATGCCAAAAAAAGACTTATGCGTACATATCTGGAAATGTTGGATGTAAATAAAACTATGAAATAACATTAGGCCACATTGGATTATAATTGTTTATGAATTAACAATAATGATTATAAGCAATAATTCAATAATCAATCAATAATTTATTGATTATAATACAACTGCTGGAGATGATTTTCGTCTTGAATGTTCTCTAAATTTCTGCCCCGGGTATAAAATTATTCTTATTCCAGTGCTTATAAAGTGTCATTAAAGCACAGTTTAAAATATTCGTTTTTAGATTAACAAGAGGCCTAAGACTATTCGGACGCGTATTACCTCATTTGTTGACAAAATCTACCACACATACAATCCTGCGACATAAAGCTCGCTATGGGGATATAATAATGTAATAATAACTCGGTATCTGATCGCTATGATCCAGTTCGCCATTTAACCTGAACTTGCTTGAGTTTCTTGATTATGACATTGAGAAGATTTGGCAAAAATCACATTGCGTTGTCACTCAATTTGTAGAAGTAGTACGACTCTCCTGATGCAGTATCTAACAGGAAGAAAGTATTCTCTATCACCACTCTCCACTGTTAGAGTTAATTTCATAATCAAGCAATTTATAAAAATTACTTGCAAAATTCATATCACAACTATAGTCAATTATAGCATGAAGACATGGAACTTGATACACAACTTGGTACTATTGATAAGAAAACATTAAGTCAAGTCAAAAACTTACAAGTTATGTTATCTTTATTTTTATCGTTAAAACTGATAAAAAGAAAACACTGGTATTCTAATAACATGAAGAAGTAACAAACGTAAAATAAAGAAGATGTAATTATTGCATCAAATCACTTATAAGTCATTAATCTTCACATAAATTTAGTTGTTTTGAAGAAGGAATAAGTGGTACAAGGAAAACACGCTAAGTATCAGGAGACAACATCTACATCAGTGAGAATTGATGATTTATGCCATACAGGGCTAATGTACAAAATACGTTTTCCGAGATTTCTACGGTGATCTGCACGAAATTTTTGGTGGGTAAGAAATCGATAATTTGGCAAAATTAAGATTGGGCTTAGCGACGAATGACTTCAACCAAACGTTTTGCATATCAAAAGAACTCCACCCTATTCTTTGATAAGAACTCACCTTTGCCAATTATATAAACACCGACAAAAAATGATCAGACCGGCCAATATTGCATAAACGTTCCTTATTCAAATAAAAGATTGATAGATGCAACAATACAGCACTCAACATCGCAGATTTAACGTGTGGATAGCTAATAATTTCATCCCCAAAATCAACATTAGTTAATGTCTAGACCAACATTAAGATACGCTGATGTTGTAACTAACCAAAATCATTCCAGAACTTTATCAAACAGGAAGTTGTAACTTGGTAAAGAACTCGTAACACAAAAGCAGACGGAGAAAACAGTAATAAGTTTTATAACACTTTGTTTTATTCTTTACTTATTGTGTGGTTTTGCTTCTATTACGTCATCTGTTCTTCCTCTCTTCAGTTTTCCTTTTTGTATTTTTCTGAAAATAGCTTTCATCTTAATATTATGGATCACATACACATATTTCTCTGTAAGTGACCTGCCGATTTTCATCATCATGCAATCAAATGGTGATTTCAACCCTACCGTCTTAGTCTTTCTTAATCTCTCTCATATTTTTGTCATCATTTTAATAAAAAATTTAGCTAAATTTTATTTAGTCTTCCATCAGTTTTGCCATTTGCTTAATATAACGTTTTTATACTGTTTCCTTCTTCTAGCTTTCCTAATGCTAGAAGGACTTGCAGCAGATATGGTGAAATAGTGACATTATCCCAACTGTTCCGTTTATTACGTACTAAACTGACTAATGCACTAATGACTTTGTGTGCACTTTCGAGATGACATCACGTGAAATAAGCTGTTACTACCCTTTAATATCCTGACGTATACTTTAATATTATATGACGCAACTTGTTGCTTATTTTTGTGTCCTTTTCCGCTGTTTATCGTGCTTGAGAAATTGAAGACCGTGAAGCAATAACGAGTCAGCTCCAGTTTAACAAATTGTTTAGGAGGCACAAAAAAATTTTCCGTAACAATACCCTAAGTCTTTTGCAATTAGTTTTTTTTTATTAGGTATAATCAAAGTTTTACACCGATTATAATCATTTTTAGCAAAATTAAACTTTCAAGCATTTGTTTATTCATAGTTGTGTATTGGAGCTACCTCGTTGTTACTACCAATTTACAAAAAAAACTACTTTATTAGTATTTTATAGATTTACACATTTATAAAACCAATAAATGTCAATGTCATCATGATTTTCTACCACATTATCAGATTTTTAAAGATCTGTAAAATGGTAAATCATTTTCGGGTACATACATATTTGCTAATGGCATTACATTGTTTAATTTTTGAAATTTTAATGGCAGTGGTAAAGAATATGCAGCTGCTGACGGTTCTAAAAGGATGTGTCCATTAGTTCTGGCTATTTGGAAATCCTTAAGAATCAGCAAACTAGCTGATATTGAACATTGGATTCCTTTTAGTTCACTGCTCATTTGGCGTCTTTTTACCTTGAGCTTCATGATACATACATATAAAAATATGGCTTTCCGAATTTGCTTGAATATACACAGAAATTAAACATCTAGAGTTGTCTTAAGTAGAACGCATCGCCAGTAGGGACTTTAGGCAGTGAAGCATTCTGTTGAAAATCAAACGAAAGTGTGTCAACTGTAGGATCATTTCTCGCCAAAGTCTGCTTAATTTTTAGATCATCATAAAAAACGTGGCATTTATTGAGATGCGACTATTTTTCAGTTTCTAGCTCATTCTTCTGATCGTCGGTTAATTCCTTATTTTTAATCCTATTTTCTGATCTACCAAAAATTTGATACGTGTCACTTCTAAGGTGACCAAAAGAATAGTTTTTGATTTAAAATATCTATAAAATAAATCGAAAGAATCACAGGCGTAATTTTTCGTTTTTTTATTTAGTTTTCATGTCACTATATACTGCAGGTTCATATGTCTTCAAGTATAACTCATACAAGAACTGCCTTGTTGTTGCTATAATTTAAAGGTCATGGCAGCTCTGTTTAACATTGCCTACCAGGATTCCATTTGGTTGGTGTCTCGTTGTTGCACCAACTGTTGGCTACTATTTTATTGGAATAGTAGCAACAATATATATAACTCAGTTTTGACAAAAAATGGAGCTGCCTCGTTGTTGTTGTAAGGTCTTCAATTATTCTCACATCTTTGTCGAGCATCTGTTAATTTACGACTGTATGTTACCATCTCCCTTGTAGTGGTAACAGTTGTTTTCTAAGCAATCAGCTTAACTTTTATAGAGTCTATTACTTATAAGACTCAATCTTCTACTTTTATTTGTTGTTTCTCGTAATTATGGGCTTAAGGTCTTTGAAAACGTTTTAAAATATCGATCCCAAAATCGATCTCGGGGCTACCAAACATGTGATGTCATTTTTGTTCATGAAGCGGAGTTGGGTATATTTTGGATGTCAACTTTGACATCTATCACTTGAATTTCTACTTATAGTTATTACGATTCTATCAACTATACCTTTTTCCATTTGAATAGAAATTTCTAAAGTCGTACTGCTCCACTTGGATCATCCCTATCTTTTCAATTTCATCTTGTAGTTATTCTCAAATGAATATCTCCAGTAATTTTGCTATTGTATTTGCAAGACAGATTAGCTTGGAGTCATTAAAGGCGGCATACATTCCCTATTTCTTATTTGATTCACTATGCTCAACCAGGCTTATTTATTTTCTTTCCAAAAGAGTTCGTTAAGATTCTGTGATTATACCTTATCAACCTTAGATAAGTTAGGATTCTTGATTAAACAATCTTTCAAGTAAATAGATGTAGTTAGTTAAATAACTTATTTTTCGATCTTCTTCTTATGTGTCCATTTTTGGTATCTTTGGTTGATACAATACGCAATAAAGTTTCTGTTAGGTATTTTGAAGATATTATTTGATGAATAACATGATTGATTTTATTAACTTTAATATTTTAAGCGATAATGTAAAACAGGAAATGTGATTTTTTTATAATTTTTTTTTCAGAAGAGAAACCGGCAGCAATGCAACATGCAAACGGAAGTTACAAGGTCGACATTGCTACAAGTGCGATGTTAACCATCCTGGTTTTGCTTTTCAGCGTGTATCCCAACACGTGATTTTAATTAAAAAATATCCTGTTTCATAAAGCAGATTGTGATTCTAAAAAAAACTAATACAGTTTAAACCCTAAAACAGTGTTTATCGTGTAAATATGAAGTCGCGACAAGTGCGCGATGAACTGTGTATAAAACGATGTGTATGTACATTCCGGTTTGCCAAAAAAAAAATCATAAAATTATATCGTTGTAGTTTATTTTTTATTTAAAAGTGAATAAAATCTAACCTCTGAGATAATAATTCTTTATTAAAATCAAACCAATATTAAGAATTTTCCTTTCAACAATTAGATTTGGGTTTAAATAGTTTAAAAATATAAAAGATGAAAAAAGACACTATTTCCGTTAGCTGAAAATCAATTAAAGAAAATTTGAAAGTATAATGCCAGATTATCGCGCTGGGTTTTTTGAGTCGTTTTGTTCTTTTTTCCATCTGCATACGGCCCGTCTTTAATCCACTTATAAGAGGCATTTGCAAGTCTAATGCGTAGCCAGTTCGTCGCAAAAAAAGCAAAAAAATCCGTATTAACCTCGACAGATTTATTCACCCCAACCCATAGACTATAGTAATATTCGATGAGTTAATTCCTGGATTATCCGGAAGCGAATCGTAATCTCTCGCCTGTCATTAGTCGCAGAATTGAAATTAATGCATTTGCAACTGGAACAGTCAGACGGTATTTTCTCAGTGAATGGAAAACGGAAGCTCAGGTCTGTAAAACTGCGGATTTCGCTTTATTTAATTCGCACCATTGTTTCGAATACGCTTTTGTTGGATTTGTCCAAAACGGATTACTCGCTTAATTAAAATATTGATCAGCCTGAATTCAAGCAGTAAAATCCGACAGCTTCGCAGCAATCCCGGATTTTCACCGGAAAGGTAAGTTACAATTACCACTGAATAACTTTAATTACGGTCAATTATACTCCGTTTCAATTTAGATCTCTTCCATCAAAGTAACAATTTAATTTTTCAATTGAAAATCTTTCTTTTCTTATCGTCGTTTCGATAAGGAACGGATATATTCCAGCTCCTTTCCCTCATTCGTCAAGAATCTATTATAAATGTTTGAAGAGATTGATATTGACGAGTTCCAATTCCAATTAAACTCCGTCTCGACCCGGATTCAGTACAAAACTTTCAATACGAAACTTTCCATTTACTCCTCTAAGAAAAGTCCTGTTTCTTGTACTCCTTCATTCTCACCAAACTTGTGGTGCTCATTGTTTTCCTTTTTTTCTTTAAGGAATTGCATTTTAACGTAAAAGTCTAAAAAATCAATAAATATTGAAAAGAAAGGAAAAGAAGGAATTCATTATGTGAATAATAAGTAATTGCAATAAATAGATAATAATCCGGTTTGTTAGAATACCGAGGATTGAAGAAGTTTTCTTAGAAAGCGATTAACGATTAGCTCATTTAAATAAAAACGGCGGCACTTTGCATTGGCTTACAGGGAATAAGTTTTAATCTGCTTAAGTCTTGACGGAATTGGATTTCGAAACTAAACTTTCTGGTTTGCATCGAGCGATTTAGGAGTAGCCAGGTTTTACTACTTTTATGTCTTCGAAAAGGAAGAACAACAGTTGATGGTTATAATCTTAAAAACTAAAGTACAAAAGTTTTATACTCGTTTGGATAAATTTTAAAGATATTTAAAGATATTGGATATTAATTAATGAAAGATTTTGAGGTAGTAAGCAAAGGATTAAGCTTTAATTTGGTGAAAGCTTAAAATTTCTAGAATTGTTTAAGTTCCCGGAAATAAATATTTTAAACTCAATCTCTTTTAAAAAGCCACAGTTTTTTCCTATGTTTGAGTTTAATTAATTAATTGCTTTAAACCAAAATTAGAAATTAATTAATGAAATAGTTTGCAGTATTAAATGAAGGATCAGAATTTAATTTGGTCAAGGATTTAGGTTATCAAAGCCTTAATATTATAGAATTATTATTTTCGCTGGAAGATATTTCTAAATTTAATCCATCCCCTAAAAACTAACAATTTTTGACTTGAATTATTTAAAAATTTTGTTTGAAATAAAATATAAAAAATTAATGAAACATATTTAGGTTATCAAGGAAGAAGTTTCAATTACGTGAAACCTTTAAATTTCTAGAATAATTTTTAGTTTCGCCGGAAAGAATTTCTAAACTTAATCTTTAACCCAAAAACATTTAATTTTTGGGATCTTTTTTTTAAAATTTATTTTGGCAGGGAATATTAAGAATTAAAGAAAGGAACATATTTATGTTATAAAAGAAGGATAAAGCTTTAATTTGGTGAAAATTATGGATATCCGGGATTTTTCATTTCGCTAAAAAAAGAACTATAACTTAAACATATTCTAAAAACTGTTCCTTTTTTGCAAAGTATGATATTAAAAAAATTTTTTAAAGAAAGTTTTGCGGATTAAGAAATGAAACATGTTGATGTTATACAAGATGGATTAAGAACTTTAGAATTGTGAATATTATGGATTATCAGAATTCTTCAGTTCACTTAAAAAGCTCTACGTTAAGTGTAATGAAAAAACTGTTGTTTCTTTGCTATTTAATCTAATTTTTTTTTAAAGATAGTGTTGGGAATCGACAAATGAAACATAATGAGGTTATAAAAAAAGGTTTAAGCTTTAGTTTGGTGAATATTATAGAGATTCAGTATTTTTCATTTCGCGTAAAAAGGTCTAAACTCAACCTATTCTAAAAACTATCATTTCTTTGCAGTTGAATTTAATTTTTTAAAGATAGTGTTGGGTATTGACAAACGAAATATGTTGAGATTATAAAAGAAGGTTTAAGCTTTAGTTTGGCAAAAATTAAGGATTTTTAGTATTCTGAAACTCAAAACTCAACGTATTCTGAAAAATGACAGTTTTTATTGCTATTTGATTTAATTCTCTTTGGAAGATAATGTTGTGAATTGACAAAAGAAAATATGTTGAGATTATAAAAGAATGTTTAAGCGTTAGTTTGGTGAATATTATCGATTCTTCCAATTGTTAGTTTAGCAGAAAAAGTTCCAACCTCAACCTATTTTAAAAACTGTCATGTCTTTGTTATTTAATTTATTTTTTTTAAAAGTAATGTTGCGAATTGACAAATGAAACATGTTTATGTTATAAAAGAAAGTTTAAACTTTAGTTTGGTGAATATTATGGATTCTTCCAATTTTTAGTTTTGCAGAAAAAGCTCTAAACTCAACCTATTCTAAAAACTGTCATTTCTTTGCTATTTGATTTAATTTTTTTAAAGGTATTGTTGCGACTTGACAAATGAAACATGTTTATGTTATAAAAGAAAGTTTAAACTTTAGTTTGATGAACATTATGAATTCTTAGAATGTTTCGTCTCGCTCATAAAGCTCTAAACCTAACCTATTCTAAAATCGGTCATTTCTTTGCTATTTGATTTCAATTTTTTTTAAACGTAATATTGCAAATTGACAATGAAACATGTTTATGTTATAAAAGAAAGTTTAAACTTTAGTTTGGTGAATATTATAGATTCTTCCAATCATTAGTTTCACAGAAAAAGCTCCAAACTCAACCGATTCTAAAAACTGCCCTTTCTTTGCTATTTAATTTAATTTTTTTTTAAAGGTAATGTTGCGAATTGACAAATGAAACATGTTTATGTTATAAAAGAAAGTTTAAACTTTAGTTTAGTGAATATTATATATTCTTCCAATCATTAGTTTCGCAGAAAACGCTCTAAACTCAACCTATTCTAAAAACTGTCATTCCTTTGCTATTTGATTTAATTTTTTTTTTGAAAGGTAATGTAGCAACTTGACAAATGAAACATGTGTTATAAAAGAAATTTTAAACTTTAGTTTGATGAATATTATGGATTCTTAGAATTTTTCGTTTCGCTCAAAAAGCTCTAAACCTAACCTATTCTAAAAACTCCTATTCTCCTATTCTACATTTCTTTACTATTTGATTTAATTTTTATGAAAGGTAATGTTGCGAATTAACACAGGAAACATATTTATATTATAAAAGAAAGTTTAAACTTAAGTTTGGTGAATGTTATGGATTCTTCCAATTATTAGTTTCGCAGGACAAGCTCTAATCTAAAAACTGTCATTTCTTTGCTATTTGATTTAATTTTTTATGAAAGGTAATTCATAAATGCTGCAAATTGGCAAATGAAACATGTTTAGGTTATAAAAGAAACATTAAACCTTAGTTTGATAAATATTATGGATTCTTAAAATTTTTCGTTTCGCTCAAAAAGCTCTAAACCTAACCTATTCTAAAATCTGTCATTTCTTTGCTATTTGATTCAACTTTTTTGAAAGGTAATGTTGCGAATTGACAATCAAACATGTTTATGTTATAAAAGAAACTTTAAACTTTAGTTAGGTGAATATTATGCATTCTTAGAATTTTTCGTTTCGCTCATAAAGCTCTAAACCTAACGTATTCTAAAATCTGTCATTTCTTTACTATTTGATTTAACTTTATGAAAGGTAATGTTGCGAATTGACAAAGGAAACATATTTATGTTATAAAAGAAACTTGAAACTTTAGTTTTGTGAATATTATGGATTCTTCCAATCATTAGTTTCGCAGGAAAAGCTGTAAAGTCAACCTATTCTAAGAACAGTCATTTCTTTGCTATTTGATTTAATTTTTTTTTAAAGGTAATGTTACGACTTGACAAATAAAACATGTTTATGTTATAAAAGAAAGTTTAAACTTTAGTTTGATGAATATTATGGATTTTTAGAATTTTTTGATTCGCTCAAAAAGCTTTAAATCTAACCTATTCTAAAAACTGTCATTTCTGTACTATTTGATTTAATTTTTTTTAAAGGAAATGTTGCGACTTGACAAATGAAACATGTTTAAGTTATAAAAGAAAGTTTAAACTTTAGTTTGATGAATATTATGGATTCTTAGAATTTTTCGTTTCGCTGATAAAGCTCTAAACTCAACTTATTCTAAAAACTGTCTTTTCTTTGCTATTTGATTTAATTCTTTTTGAAAAGTAATGTTGCGACTTGACAAATGAATCATGTTTAGGTCATAAAAGAAAATTTAAACTTTAGTTTGATAAATATTATGGATTCTTAGAATTTTTAGTTTGGCAGAAAAAGCTGTAAACTGATAGTATCTATAACTATCTTTAGTTTGGTGACTATTACGAATTTTCAGAATTTTTCGTCGAAACTCAACGTTTTCTAAAATCTGTTATTTGTTTCATTTTTTTTTAAAGATGATGCG